GCTATTACCCCCCCCCCCTCCTCCACATTTCCACACTCAGCCTGTGTTTTAAGGCGTACTTTAATCGATTTATATTATCGCTGACGTGTTTTTACTTCTACCCCTTCCTATATAATTGTACTGGCCCGACGAGAATTTATCGAAAGCTACATATGCTCGCCACCTCGTCTTCTGATTACTGCTATGGGAATTTTCGCAATTCTCAGCGTTGATGAAAAAGAGAAGTAAATTGCATTCTGTAAGTCTTCACATATTTATTTTATCAGGCCAATGTACTTATTGCAGCCCAAACCACTAGACCTTCGTTGTTGGGTTAATTGCTGACCTCAAAAGCATAAGTCGCTTCAGAAAGGCAAAAAAGGAAATCGCCATCGTTTGCTTTGAGTTCAATAATACAACGAACCTAAGCATTTTTATCAATTCGCAATTCGGAACGCCTGGACCGTCACCCTTCAAGGCCGCCTCCGCGTGCCTGACGTTTGCCCCAGGCGTTGGCGCTATAAGGCACTGCGCAACCTACTCCGCTCGACTATCGCACGTGCGGAGAGATACGATCGATTACGCTCGACATTTAATAATAATAATAATAATAATAATAATAATAATAATAATAGTGTATTTTAGGATAACAGGCAATGCCCTTGATGACCCTACTGAAAACGGTACATAAAATATAAATGTTAAATTTACATCTTACTAAAATTTGGTCAGTAACATATTTGTTCACGGAGAACGTTTTCACAATGCGGGGCTGCGAAGGGTGCGGCAGGCGGTCTTCTCAGTGTACATATGAAATTTTAAGTGCAGTTATATAAAATCAGCATAAAGTGCTGTCATTTGCATAGTTTGAGAGGAGACATTTCATTAAAAGTCAGGGATGTGTTAGCGCAACACAGGGCTCTGCCTGTAACCCTTCAATATACATATACATATGCATATAGATGTGTGCTTGCATGCAGCCGAGCGCTACAGGCGAGAAACGTATGTCAATGGTCTTAACAACGAGCCCGTGCCTCAGTGGTTAAGGGCAGTAGACTTCTAACGAGCAGATCTCTGGATTGAGCCCCAGGTTTTCTACACTTCGGGGTTGCGTATGACATCCTGACGACGGCTAATAAGCCAGAAATGGTCATTCTAATCTCGATCGGGAATATTCACTGGTAGAGTGGGGCGCTTACCGTTCGTGTTACTGAGCTCACTCGTCCTGCGTTGCGTCTTGGGGCGCTCTCTCTCTCTCTCGAGCCCAACCAGCAGCCGCACAGCGGCGTGTAATACAGGCGGAATAACATTACCGACAATGACGAGGGAGACTGGATTGGCCATTTTTGGCTTATTAGCCGTCGTCAGCTAGTCATGCCCAACAGGTCGCGGGATCGACCTCCAGAGGTTGCACACCTCGACGCTCGGTATGACTGGCTGTCCACAGTTAATAAGCCAGAAATGGCTATCCCGGTCTCCCTTGCCTTTGTCGGTAATACTGTTCTGCCTATATCACGTGCGGCTGTGTAGCTTCTGGTTGGGCTCGACAGAGAACCCCAACAGGACGAGTGAGTTCCGTAACGCCATCTGTGAAAACTTCCCCTACCACAGCTCTATGTTATTGGGGTCTGATGAGATACGAAGACAACGAGCAAAGAGACTACCGGTCTGTTCATAAACATCGTATCCAGCCTTCTTGGAAAATAGTTTGTAATATCACTTTCGCATTTCATTGCACTGACCAACTACGAGACCCTATCGGACGTCGCGTCCTGTCCGACAGGCTCCACTGAGCTTCCCACTTGTCTTTTCCTAACCTGACCACTGGTCGACCTCCGAAAAAGCACCGCGTACTGAACTTTCACCCAAACTGAAACTGTAGTTATGCCTCGCACCGCTCTTAAGTTCACTACATAACCAACTGTTCACAAAAAGTGTTAGATGACTCATGTTATTTCAATATCCCCTTCGACTGAGGTATTTCACTATCCTTTTTGGGGCCGGCCACGTCTTTTAATGAAACTGACGGTCCAAATATTTAATTATTCTTAGTGACGTTAGATCTGTTTGCCCATTTTTTAAATACGTTACTGGTTTCTGAAATAAAAATTTTAACTTAAACACCATCTATTTTGATGATTTTTTTTCATTTAAAGATCGCTTCGTGTGTTTGGTTCTATCAAATGTATCTGGCCATATTTTTGGTACAAATATTTTGTTAGAAAATCCTAGAACCTAGATATAACTTACAAAAACAGATGTGATTTCTCCTCTCGAGCGGTTCGCATTTCTATCAAATATGCTATACTATCTCAAATAAATCAGTCTGAGGTCCCGTCATAATTATTGGCCCTTTATTTGTGCTTCCACGTACTTTTTATGGATTATTATTAATATTGTTATTGCTGCGTATGATACAGAAAGGCCCGCTTATTTTGTACGCGCGCAATTTGGCGGACTATCGCGCGATATTTACTTCTTTGGTTTTTAATACAGTATTACTATTTTAGAAATCGCAAGGCTAACAGATTATCTCATCTTAGATGGCAGATTAATATATAAAAAAGTGCTTCTAGAGGGAATGAAGAGAGAAGGTTTAGGGGTAGGGAATATATGACAGATAGAATTATTAAATATTAGCAGGCACAGTCCTTAGTATTCTCTACCATACGAAATGATTCAGTATGAGGAAGAGTGTGACAACATATATGCCTCGAACGCAGCATCCCGCAGAACTTCACGATATTTTCCATTTGCGCTGTTTTTTGAGCAAAGTGCTAGGATATTTTTTGTGAAAAGGAGTTTGTGTCTCTGCCTCTTAGATCGTAGGAATTGCGGAGTCAGTTGCTAAAACAGAGAAGCGTCATAATACTCATAAGGAGAAGGGGGAAGGGAGGAGGAGGATGAGGAGGAGGAGAAGAAGAAGAAGAAGAGGAAGAAGAAGAAGGAGAAGAAGAAGAAGAAGAAGAAGAAGAAGAAGAAGAAGAAAGAGGAGGAGGAGGAGGAGGAGGAGGAGGAGGAGAAGGAGCAAGAGGTAGGATCCAGAGTGTGAGGGAGAGTGTTATGACCCGCCTGGTACTTGAAATCTTGTGGAGCGTATGCGCACTCGACCCTTGTCCCCAATACCAACGCGGCAGAGAAGGAGAACGCGACCGGCCACGAAAATGTGTATTAGGAAATTGCAAGTCAAAATTAACTGGAAGTAACGCATATTTATAACGCCCTACTGTGTTTCGCCGGCGTTCGGCCCAATGCCCTTCGGGAAGAACATGCGAGACGAGCCGGTCGATAATTCGAATATGCTGATCGATCAGGCCCGAGAGGAAAGGCCAATGGAGAGGCGCCACGATTAAGATGACAGCGCAGTAGAGAAAACGCACGTGGCCTCCCGTGATTGGCTGGCTCTTGTTTTCGGGAGTGTAGGTACTCCCAACAGAGAGAGAGCGGGATACGGAAGAGGACAATGAAGATGAGGAGGTAAAGGAGAAAATGCCGGAGAGTATTGAGTGAGAGCTACGGTTATTGGAGAGGGGATAAGTAGGAGATTAGAGGGAAAGGCTAGAGGGAGTGAATGAGGAGGAAGGGGAGAAGGAAGAAGACAGGAAAGGGGGAATTATCGAAGGAGAAAGAGAATTAAAATGAGAATGATTTAGAGAAATAAGATGGGGGTGAGGAAGATGGGGAGGAGGAGGAGGAGACGCCGTGATGGCGCTTTTTTTGCGCAGAACCGTGAGTTCTTTTTTTACCTCACGCACCACTTTAAGCCGTATACATAGTCTCCGGACTCGCTAGCATTCTCATTAGCAAAAATTCAGTGATGTGTCTTGGAGCGGTAAGCAATTATTGCTTTAAATAATTTCACATGCTTCGTATTTCAAACGCTTACGCTGCAACGCTCTTAAACTCTTCGCGAATAATTATGGTTTTGTGTGACTGAGAACCTAACCGATATGGGTGTTTTAAAGTGAACGACCAAAGTGCGTGCCCAAACACGCAAGTTTTGATGCACGAATCATGCTCCACCCTGGTGACGTTACAAGCTGCAATGGGGCTGCTTATGAAGCCATTTCAGTGGGGCTGAAAACGAAGCTGTCTCTGTAGAAGACGAATAACCGTAAATCGAGAGTTCTCTTATTATTGTCAGCAGAGGGAATGCTGGGTTAAGTCACACTTGAGATATTGTGTCGCAGCATCGAAAATTCAATTACCAAAGCATGCACGGAGGTGTTCCATACTGCAGAACATTAAAATGCCTCTTACTTCAACTGGGTATATTTGGATTTTTTGATAAGTAACCTCCATGTGAGTCGATTACATCACTGCAGGCGAGAAAGCTCAGCAGATTTTAATGGCTGTTTCGGGGATCGACCTCATGATAATTCTCTGCATACAACACTGTTTAATAACGCGCTTTGTGCTGCGAGAGACTGGAAGAACAATCAGTAAGTGAAATCGGCCACGAACAAAGACAAAGGAGATTGGTATGGCCGTTAACGGTTTTTCCGGAACTCACTCGTTTCGTTGTGCCCTACGGGCTCGCTCTCTCTCGAGGCGCATGATATAGGCAGTAAGGCACAGCGGAACGAGTGAGTTCCGTAAGAACGATCGGTGAGCGCCCCCCCCCCTACCGAAGGGTATAGTCTTAACAAACAGAGAGTTTTGTGAAAGGTGAGGAGGGGTTGGAGGTCCACATTTCGATTTTAAAAAGGGTGCAACAAAAAGACACACAGATATTTTGTCGAAGCTCCAGGTGTGGAACACCTGGACACGTTGGGCTAGTTGTGCTCATGAGAGAGAGAGCACGTAAGGCACAACAGAACGAGGGAGTTCCGTAGAAACGATCAATGAGCACTCCTCTACCATTGTATATTCCAGATCGAAGCCGACAGAACAACGCGCCCATGGCTCAGTGGTTAAAGGCGTTGGACTTCTAACTAACAGGTCGCGGCATCCAGCCCCAGATGTTCCACACCTCGGGTTGGGTACGACTGGCTCACGACGGCTAATAAGCCAGAAATGGCTATTCCAGTCTCTCTTATCTTTGTCGATAATAACATTCCGTCAACTGTTTACCTGTCTTCATCGGTCACCTGCGCTTCACTGCATAATTTGAATCATTTAACTGGTCAGCAGATGTTCAAGTCAGATGTTTTGCCGCATAAAAGTAACCTTCACGGGCACACCTTATCTACAGGTGGATGACGAGTTTGCGTTAGAGGAGGACGAAGAGAATTTCGAGGAGGAAATAGATAATGACAGCGAAGTAAAGGAGCCTGAGGAGGAGTAAGCGGACCTGGAGGAGATGTTTAAGGATGAGGAGAAAGGGTCGCAGATCAGTGCGTATAGTTACTTAAATACGGAGGAGGAGGAGGAGGAGGAGGAGGGGAGAGGTGGCAAGCAAGAAATTGCAGGATAGTAAGAGGCAGGAGGTATAGCGTTTCGAGAGGAAGGCACACTGTGTGGGGGAAGGAAATGTTGGAGGAGGCGAATGAGGAAGTGGGCCTGCAAAATAGAATTAGAATGATGATTATGGAGAGGAGGAGGCAGAGGGCGGATGTGCGATGAAGGGGTAGCGGAGAAAATATTAGGTGAGGGAAAATAGATCGAAAAGAAAGACGGAGAGGAGGGGTAGGAGGGGGAGGAGGAGGATGAGGGGAAGAAGAAAAAGAGAAAGAAGAGGATCAAAACGAAAATACGGAAAAGCGAGAGCGGGAGACGGAAAAGGGTGATGAAGAGGAGGTGAACGAGGAAGTATAGGATGACAGTGGTCAGGAGCTGCAGCCCCCGGCGAGTGGTAAGCATGAGTAAGGAGGAAAGGGCGGTGGGAGAGTTGTCGGTAACTGAATTCTATTTATCGTGGTCACATCAAATTACGCAGTAAGACTGAGTTGAAGTCGATAGCGAAATTTGTGATGATTGTATAGTTTCGTGTTCGTATCATGTCGGGGTCACCAAAATAACAGAAGCCTAGGGCGAGTGTGAGAGACCCTAGCTACCACGACGTTTAGACCCGGTCCCGAATGGAAAGTGAAGACGGATACCAGTGTGGGGATTTTGATATTCTGTACAGAATAAGTGGAGAAGGAGTTGGAGAGAGTTGGCAGCCGGGGGAAGGCACGTCCGGCGCCGGGTGAGCTGCGTGCCAGGGAACGCGTCACAGCGCCTAAAGCCAGAACACGTCCGACTTGGCCTTGAATCCGATTGGCCAGTTGAGGAGTCGAGTGGGCGAATGGCAGACAGCCCTTGTGCGCATGTGTAGACACTCGTGAGAAACCCAGCGTTGAAACAGGCGCTCGCAGTGGGTACACTACAGAATAATGAGGTGGAGGAAGAGAGGCAGTAGTAGTAGTAGTAGTAGTAGTAGTAGTAGTAGTAGTAGTAGTGGTAGTAGTAGTTGTGGTGATAATAATAGTTTTATTATCAGTAGTAGCAGTAGTGCGATAAAATAAAGGCGCCGCAATTAAACTAATTTTTGCACGTAATCGGAATTTTTCTATCTTACCCACTATTTTGTTCTGCATACACTGTATTCACCAGAACACAACTTCCCTAGTGCAGTGGAGATGATATGAATAGCATCACAAGGGCGACAAAGTTCAATTCCGATGGCTTCTTATGCCAAAAATCGGAAGGCAACCGACCATTAATCAGAACAGGCCTGCTTACTGAAGCAAGATTTTCAAAACAGTGTGAAGGATTCACCAGTGACCGGCTAGATCAATTCGTAAAGACGTGAATAAAATGTAAAGAGGTCAGGAGTAAGCTCGAATTTATTGCGGGGGAGGGGGCGATGGTAGTGACGGCTGGCAAAACGGCCGTATGATCTCAACTGATTGGCCTACTAAATTTTCGAAGAATGCATGTCCGCCCAATAAGAAATGGGATTCTTAATATGCATCCATTTATCTCAGGTAAGTCACCATACCATTTACACCACCATGATATATATTAATCTTCGCGACAAATCTTCTTGTCCCACACGGGCGATACGAATGCTGGCATCTCTCTTCGTCTGTACAGTACGTACACTGTCTCATGAAATGTTAACCAAAAATCTAAAATGTGTCTTCGATTAGGAAGGATTACTTAAGTGGGATTGGGCTATTAATTAGCGTGCAGCGTAATTCTAAGACCATTCAATCATATCAGGATGTCAGCATTTGAAAGAGCTTCTTTTCACCCGTCTGCAGAAACTGCATTCTATAAAGATTGACTACGTAAATAGCATGATATTTTCCACTGATTTTCAATGCCTTATGAATTCAATTATATTTTATAAAAACATGCAGGAAAGTATTCTTTCATTTGCTCATTTGGTAGCTCATTGCACCTCCTTCAAATTTTATTTTCGAAGAATGGGTAACTTTCAGTTTTAAAAAGATTTTTAATCAGGAAATTTGTAGACCATGAAATATTTATTCATATATCATTGCATAAGTAAGTTTGCTCATACTACTTATTAAGTAAACAACCTGGTCCATATCCATTGCACAATTCTATAAGTGCTACGGGAATTGTTCCTAACGGTATAGATGAATGAGTCATATTCATTTGACGGAGTGTGTAGGGCATGTAGTTGTGAAACCCTGAATACAAGTGTAGCGTCAGGTGAGGGAAAAACTTTTCGGGAATTAAAAGTTTTTCAAAACCGAAATATGCCGTTTTTTAAATAAGAAGTTTGAAGAAGACGTAGTTTTCTGCCAAATGAAGGGATATTTTTCTGCAATTTTTCTTTAAAGTATGGCTGAATTCGTAAGGGCGCTGAAAATCAATGGGGAAAATACACGCTACTTAAGCAGTCATTTTTCAGAAAGTGTAGTTTTTTCAAACAGCCGGAAAGAAGCGCATTCGACAGACGGCAGCCTGAAATGACGAGAATGTTTTGGGATTATGCCGCATGATAACCAATAGTACAACCTTACTTAAGTAGTCCTTTCGAATCGAAAGCACATTTCAGAATTTCGGTCACCATTTCATGAGACTTTCTACACCATGAAATGTCCATTCACACAGCGTCACATCAGCACGTGTACTGATGCTACTTATAAAGTGTGCAACCTGGTTAATATCTATTACAAAATTTCATGATCGATATATGACGCTCTTCTAACAGCATAGTGGAGTGTGTAACATTCTTTTGACAAAACGTATACAGCTCGTTGTTTGGAAATCCTGGATGCTAGTGCAACGGCACGTCGGGTTCGAGGTTATCTGGGTATCGGAGAAGTTTTTAAAAACCGAAAGACACCTTTTCTTAGATTATGAAATTTGAGAAGAACGTAGTTTGCTGCCAGATGAGTACAGGAAAGAACGGCAGGTTGTTTTTGTACGTCCGTTTTTACACTAAAAACGGATACCCATAGTTCCCCTGACAACCTTCCATTAAAGCCGGAGACGGCCGCATTTACCATGACAGACCACCTAGACGAACAGGTCATTAATTGGTTCGCAGTCTAAATAAACATCAGCGACAGCGACAGAATCAAATAAGAGTGGCCCTCCGAACGGGTCACATGTTAGATGCGCTGGACTAACACGGAGGGACCATATCGGATTCTGGCGGGCGTTATCGGACTTGCGCACCATAAAAAGTGCCAACACTCCAGGGGTGCGGTGGCAGACCCAGTTGCCGGCAGACGTCGCGCACAGTGGGACCCCTGCGGGCCTCCACTGTTGCTGCTGTTCAAAATCCTGGTCATTTATTGTGTGGACCAGGGGGCTTGGAGCGCCAAAGTGCGGGCTCGACCGTGCCATCCACCTGCGCCCTCCCCCGCCTCCGGTCTTCTGGACTTTGTCTTGACAACGGGTTCGGGTGGGGAGAGGGAAGAGAGGGTGCGGTTGATGCGGTGAAAGTCAACCATCACTATAAACTAAATCACGCGCAAGTCGCCGCGCCCGCTCTCACCTTTTTGTGGAGCACACGTCGGACATAGTCAAAACCGACGGTGGACCTCTTGTGTGGTATCGGTATAGATATGCGGTTGCACAGCAACTGTCTTCTTCAACCAGTACATTTCTTGCGAGTGTGCAACATCTATCTGTTGCTATCTCTGATTGGTTTGAGTAAGCAGCCAAAAACTAGGCGCATATCATTATCTTTTTCATTCCAAAAGAAGAATTTTGCTTTAAACTGGTTTTTTTGACGGACCAAACATCATGCAGTACTTTTGAGCCTTCTATGAGAAACTGGCGGGCGTACACAAAGTAGGCGAACTAAACTTTTCTAATGAACATGCGAGAACTTGAGTTGGATCACAATATGACCATCAGCCTGAAATTAACCCAGACCGTACTCTAGTCCGTAAACCGGAGAGCCCTCAACACCACCCCAACGCCGTTGTTGAGCGTTGTTCACAATGCCTACGAGAATGGTACCAGCAGAATAAATTCGCAAGAATATCACACTAGTTTATAAGCTGTACGTTTCCTAGGAATTCCTGACTCGCTTAGGTATTAGACCACGTCCAGACACCATTATGATTAAATTTTATATCATATAAATTTAATGCACTGCCATGTAAAGTTAACAGGCTTCATTTCTCTGCTGCTTTCACCAAAAAATAGGAAAGATGAGCACACTTTAAATAGTGTCATTTCGGGGCAGATAATCAAACGATGACTGAACCACTGTAGTCCAAGTAAACTGATACGGCAATCATACTATCGAAAGTATCGTTTCCAAGATCGGTAACTAAATGCAGACTTCTAGCCAGAAAAAGTAATTAACAACCATGTAAGCGTGGATTTAAGGGGAAAAGTGGATACATTTCGGTCTTACAAAAAGTGTTCTTTTATGCGAGCATAAGCTTTAAAATTGCGTTTTTTATAATCAAAATAAATATGTAAATTAAATAAAGTAGTGGTAAAAGGAATCACGACGTATGGACATACAACTCGCAATCTGTACGAATGCAATAAACTCTCAGTCAGAGCGCACTTAAGAATAAACTCCATTTTAAAAATTCTTCCAGCGCACATTGAGACTCCTGCCACCTGCCCGTGCAAAATCGAGCCTCTTTTGAGTCTAGTTGAATTTTGTCACAAGACTTGCTTCATATCTGCGGGAGAAAGCTACGAGTAGATCAGGGGACTTCAGTTGGCTCACCAGTGGCAGCACTGGTCTGAAAAAAGCTCTTAAAGACTGTTTTCACCCGATAGGATCCAATCTTTCGACGCCATAACTTTAGTAGCACGTTTTTTTACCGTCAAGAAGAACATGCTGCAGAACTTTCATAATCTGCTCAACTCAATCATCCGAGATATACAATCCCCGAGAGAAGAAGAAGAATAAGGGCAGCAATTGCATTTCCTAGACGTACTTGTCATGCGAAGTCCTAACGACGAAGTAGAGATAATGGTTTACGGGAAGACGGCGAACACCGCACAGCTTCTCAGTTTTCACAGCAGCCCTCCAGTGACTCACAGACGAAACTGGGCGTGAACGCTCACCAAACGGGTCCAGACTCACTGCGGTAGTGCGAATGAAAAACGCAAATGAGGCCGGATATATCCGCAACTAGTTGATGTGGGACGGCTAATGGAAGGCTAACTTTGGTCCTAAATCTTTTCGTCCAATCGCCTGCTCCTCTGCAATACTAAAGCTTACTGAAAGAGTTGCCCTAGATATCATAAAGCCTTTTTCCTCCAGTTTTTCCGACCCTTTACAATTTCCATGTAAAGCCAAACGGAGTACTTTAGATGCTGTCGCTCTTGTGGTTTACTCTGCTCTAAAAGCATTAGACAAGGGTTGCCGCGAGTATTCGTGCGCTTTTCTTGATTACTCCTCCGCCTTCAACACCGTC